GACTGAAGGCGGGTCACTGATGTGAGGCCTTTAAGGTCTGAGAAGATTCACGCCTCTCAGGATGGGCTTGTCCAATGAGAAAGGCTGAAATTTCAAGCGGGAGGTTGGAAATACTGGGGAGTTTTATGACCCTTTGTCTGAGAGCATGGTAATTTGCATATGGAACTCGATTGGGTGTTGATGCAAATTTACTAAAGATTCTTAGAACACTAATATATTGCCTATATACCGACATATAATATACCCTCTCGTTTAGATCATTAGAAGACAAATTCATAGATACTAAACATGGTAAGATTACATATAGGTAAGATTACATGAACGAGTGGTTCTATCATAAGCATGCATAAAACAGTATACAATACAAAAGACAATATACAAGAACAGTAACAACATACACTTGAAGTATATGTGTGTGGATGAAAGTCTTGATGGTTTGGAGGTTCGGTGGTGTAGGAGTTGCGATCACCTTCTTCCAGGTTTGAAGAGTGATATACTCCAAAAAGATGTTATTCTGACTCCGTGGTGGTCGGGAGAGTTTTCTCCCAGATGAAGATTATGAAGAGCTAAGAGAGACGTCAGCTGAGATCCAAGGATCATTGGTGAATGTAAAGACAAGGCCGAAGCCTGGTGCAGACTTAAGGGTTGCAGAAGCGTTCTAGCTCACATCCTCATCTTCTCAGAATCTAACAGAACCACAGACTGAAAGGCTATGTCTTGGAGCCCACCGGGCACGCCCACACCGGCTCAAATTCATAGATACTAAACATGGTAAGATTACATATAGGTAAGATTACATGAACGAGTGGTTCTATCATAAGCATGCATAAAACAGTATACAATACAAAAGACAATATACAAGAACAGTAACAACATTGACTTGAAGTATATGTGTGTTCATTCAAAGAAAGGTTTTCCTATGAATTAATGTAAGAAGTCATTTCCTATAGCAGTATGTGTCTGTTTCAGAGAGAACCGAGTAGGAGGAAGATTCTCTCTACATACTTTTAGGTCGCAAAAGTTTATCTGATCTGGCTGAGGGGTCCTGGTTGCCATGGTAACCAGGGGCCTGGGGTCGTTCCCAGACATGCTGGCACCCAGTATGTTTATTGGGTGAGGGGTCTGTGATTATTTGTTAATCTAATGAAAAATGGTGTGTCTGATTGGTCCAAATGCTACACAATTTTAGAGCAATTTTTAGTTTTAGTTTTTTCAGCTATTGAACGAATCCATCTGACTTTAAAGAACTAGAGCATTTAAAGTGGCAGACGACAAAATGGCAGTGGATGTTTATAATAAACAGAACATTACTGTGCTAATATTGTTATTGTTTTCGTTATGTTTATATAGAATGAACAAGCCTTTAGTCCTAATTAATGAAAAAGAA